GGCTGAGAGCAGGCATATGACAGAATAGGGAAATCTGCGATCCTGGCCTCAGCAGGTCCTAGAGAGGGGCCTGCCCGCCTGTCCCCACCCCCACCACGCACACACGTGCCCACACGTGCACAGCCCCGCAGGCCCTGACAGGCACACTCAACCCATCAAGCTCTGCCTGGCACAATAGCAGGGACTCAACCAATGCTTGGCAAAGGTCGAACACCCATGTGCAAAGAGCTGCTGGGAAACTCGCCATAGGCATACAAATACACACTGACACGCGTGTCCACACACAGCACACGCACACTCCCTGTGCACGGCCGCCACACGCCGTCCCGGCTCTTCGGCCTTGGGCAGCGCTGCCTTGTGTGGGCAGGTCTTTGTGAACTTGCAAGCTCACAAGCCCCCTGCAGAGGGCAACCTCCCCCTGCCATTCCCTCCACCCCACCTCCCTCCCCGGCCCCCTGCAGTGCCAGAAGCCGAGTCTCTGAGGTCCAATCCTGGCGGCTCTACAACCAGCAGCCAATTAAATGTGGCCCTGGGACCCTGACGGGGCAGCGGGAGCCCCTGGGGTGGCGGGGTTTGAACCAACAGCTTGTGCCGGGAACATGACACCCCACCCCCGGGGCGAGAAACAGGGTGGCTTAGGGGACTTGCGGCCCCGGGGAGCTGAACTAGCTGAGATTTGGGGCAGCCGGAGGTGGGAGTGTGTGTGGAGCAGATGTGTCTCCCAATGAGATGTGTCACCCCCGCCACCGACATTCCAAAGTGAGGTCCCACTGTGGGGCGGACGAGATGGAACTAGCGAAGTGCAGGAAACTGGCTACGAAAATCATGCAGCCATCTTCTCTGCTCTATAGCAGGAGAGAAACGGCAAGTTCTGAACCAGGATAAGTGACAAAAAACGAAGGAAACCTCAGTGTCAGCGCCCAGAGGTGTGGCCAACTTGGGACCCTCAGAATCACAAGAGCAATCACGAACGCAGAGCTCTGGGCTCACGCCCAGGATCCCCACCCAGTGGGCCCGGCCGGGGCCCCAGGGCCCTGCATTTCCCATTTCCCAGGGGATCTGGCTGCAGGTGTTCAGAGCAGACACATTTCAGGAACCGTATCATTGAGCAGCTTTGCGAGCACACCTGACTGGGACCAGCCCCCCACCAACCGACTGTAAGACACACTCCAACCCCACACAACACCCGACACCCTGCCGCGCCAGGCCGCTGCCCGGGAAACCTGCGGCCGCACAGAAATTCAAGCGTCAGTGATGCTCGGACCAGCACCTGGCTCTTGCCCTTGTCTATCTGAATGCCTTCATGTCCCCTTTCTGCCGGGCACATCAGCTGTTCTGCAAAGAGCAGGCAAACAGAAGTCTCAACTCGGGACAGTAAATGCAAGGACTCATGGCCCGGAACTGGCACTGCCCAGCCAGGAGAACACCCCTTCCCTAGGCTAACCGCCTCCAGTGTCCCCAGCAAAGAGGGGGACCCCAGAAGCTTGTCCATGGCTTCAAGGGCATGCAATCAAGGCCTTAAATCATACTGCAGCAACACGTGCGACCATCGCTCCACTTCCCTTTCGATCCTCCTGAGGAAGGGGCTTGGTGCCACCCTGACCCCATGCCGTGGACGGGGTCCCGACAAGGCGGCCGGCCTCAGGGTCCCAGCTGACAGCAGGTGCCGCTGTCCAGTGACTCCGTTTATGGCACGTGATGCTTGTTTCCACTTATGGGAACCACATACAGTTTCCAAAATTTACCTCCAGTTTTCAACAGTAAGTCAAGCAATAGAATAGTCTTGGGCAAAGAATAATGTGAGTGGTGTGGGGACGTGGAAGAATGGATGAGAGTCTGGGAAACAGTCGCAACTGTATGTGTTGTATGTATGTACTGCACGCACACCAGGCGTTCTTCAGCATATATGCCATTCAGTCCTCACAGCACTAAGGAGGTGGGTATATAACTGTCCCCATTTTACAGTCGTGGAATGGAGGCCCAGAGAGGTACAGCAGCTTGCCCAAGGTCACCCAGCTCTCAAGTACATGAATAGCCCTACCCCAAGTCGCAAGTTGGTACGAATCAAGGCCTTAAATCATACTGCAGCAACACGTGCGACCATCGCTCCACTTCCCTTTCGATCCTCCTGAGGAAGGGGCTTGGTGCCACCCTGACCCCATGCCGTGGACGGGGTCCCAGCCTCTGACAAGGCGGGAGCCGGCCTCAGGGTCCCAGCTGACAGCAGGTGCCGCTGTCCAGTGACTCCGTTTATGGCACGTGATGCTTGTTTCCACTTATGGGAACCACATACAGTTTCCAAAATTTACCTCCAGTTTTCAACAGTAAGTCAAGCAATAGAACAGTCTTGGGCAAAGAATAATGTGAGTGGTGTGGGGATGTGGAAGAATGGATGAGAGTCTGGGAAACAGTCGTAACTGTATGTGTTGTATGTATGTACTGCACGCACACCAGGCGTTCTTCAGCATATATGCCATTCAGTCCTCACAGCACTAAGGAGGTGGGTATATAACTGTCCCCATTTTACAGTCGTGGAATGGAGGCCCAGAGAGGTACAGCAGCTTGCCCAAGGTCACCCAGCTCTCAAGTACTCGAATAGCCCTACCCCAAGTCGCAAGTTGGTACGCACACGGCATACCCCCATGTGACCCTGCAAGGGCCCTGGACGCACCGGATCTGGCTGGTCTGCTCTTCAATGGCCTCCACCGCACTCTCCACGGAGCTCAGCAGCGACTGGATCTGACTGGCCGTCTCCTTCAGGAGGAAGCGGGTCACAAACTGGTCCACGTTGCTTCCTCCCTCATACACCTGTGGCGGGGAGAGCAGGGACAGCAAGGGCTAAGGGTGGGGAGGGAACGGGGGTGTGGGGTCTGGCACGAGTTGGAGGGGCACCTGGGGTCTGTGTGTTTGCCTTACAGTGGGGAGGGGGAAGCCCACTCCACTACTGCCTTCTGTATCTTGGAGGCCATAGAGCTCCTGGATCAAGGCACGGGGTATGGACTCGGAGGCCAAGGTCTGAGCCCTGGCTTTACCTCTTACTCGCTCTGTGACCTCTAGAGCCATACCAGCAGTCACTGTAGTAGCTATCTTACAAGGTCATGGTGAGGATTAAATTACAGCATGTACTTAAAATGCTCAGCACAGTGCCTCAGCACGTAGCAAGTACTCAATAAACAGCAGCTGCTATGAAAAGAAGATGGTGATATGATGGTGGTGGTGATGGTGAGGGTGGTGGTGACCATAGTGACAGTGGTGATGGTGATGGTTGTGATGATAATGGTGGTGACAGTGGTGTGATATGATGGTGGTGGTGATGGTGACGATGGTGACAGTGGTGGTGGTGATGGTTGTGATGATAATGGTGCTGACGGTGGTGGTTGTGGTGCTATGATGGTGAGGGTGATGGTGATGGTTACAATGGTGACTGGTGCTATGATGGTGGTGGTGATGGTGACAGTGGTGAGGGTGATGGTTGTGATAATGGTGGTGGTGATGATGGTGACAGTGGTGGCTGTGGTGCTATGATGGTGGTGGTGATGGTGATTAGCAGATTGTTCCTGATGTTGTTGTTGACAGAGACAAAGCATTAGGGGAGAAGAACTCACAACCTCCTTTCGCCCTTCCTTCTCCAAGAAGGACGCTGTGGGCTCCTGGGCCTGCACACTGCTAAGCAGAGAAATGATAGATGAGAATCAAAAGCACCCAGAGGGCTTAAATTGGCTCCCCAGAGAGGGTGCCCGAGCCTCAGTCCCAGAGGGAGGGCAAGTGGGGAGTCTGGGGGAAGCTGAGGGAGGGAGACAGGCCACAGGAGAGACATCGGGAAAAGGTGGGTGAGGAGGGTTTTCTATGAGTTTTGCTCTGAAATGTGAGACAGGATTTCCCCTCCTGCTAAGAGGCTGCAGCAAAGACCTTTCTCAAGCTTTCTGGAACCAGTTGAGTTTCTTTTGCTGCAAAGGCTTTATAGTGGAAGGTTCAGCCGGGTTGCTCAAGGACGATAACAATCAAAGGGACGCTGTGCTGGGAGACGCTGGTCCCCTAAGCCCGGTGCTGCGCTCCCGCCGCCTCCGCAGACCTGACCTTCCAGAGCTACCTGCCCCAGGGAACCTTGGAACTCTGCCCGGCCTCCGGCAAGGCAAGGGAGACCAGGAAGCAAATGAAACCATCCATCACTCTGACTTGGAATTAATTAGCAATAATTGCACAACGGGAAACATGGCTAGAGACAGATGGAGAAATGGAGGCAGGGAGCAGGGGGAGAGTGGGGTGCAGGGAGGCTGAAAGGAGGGGCACACAGGTGGGGAGGTGTGGGGGTGGACATCCTGGGCCCGCCACCAGACCCGGCACGCTGGCGAGAGGCCCCGGCAGAGAATGCATTTGTGGCAGAAAGAAGGTGAGCTTCTGGTAGCCCAATGCATTGCAGTGATCGATTATCCTTCCTGACAGGCAAGTGAACTCACAACCCAGTGATCAATGGGCTCTGGACAAACGAACAAGAAGATCCGTGGTAGAAAGTGTGAACACAGAGGAAGGCTGCCGGAAGTCATCAAACAGAGAAAAGAGCTAAAGTGAGCGGGTTAGAAGCACCCCGACCAGGGACTGAGGGCGTGTCTGGTCAGGGACCAGCAAGTGTAACTGGTCAGTTGAATTCCAAAGACAAGTTATTTTCAAAGGAGGAGAAATGCAGCTTTTACAGATTTCGCCTCCACAACTGATGTCTCAGCTGAGAGGCCGCGCCATGTTCCAGAGGAAAAGGATCGGGTCCAGGAACTCTGCACCACACGGACAGAGTCCTCATTCGCAGAGTAACAGGGAGATCGTGCGGAAGTCTGCAGATCGAGGGAACTTGACCGGATGAGCACCTTTCCTGCAAAGAACGCCCAGGAGTTTCTCCCAAAGCATCCGGGTTGAATCAGAGAGAGAATTCAGCAATGGGAACGTTGTGAGGCGATGGTGATCACCCAAGTGAAGCAGTAAGTCACAGAAGTCAGGAGGTAAAAACAGTCATCACTCCTCATTACATTTTAACTACAATGATTAAGTCAACAAGGAGTGTGAACGTCTGGAAAAACAACAGGAAATCTCAAAGATCTCCCCAATTCCCTAACAGAGAACAGGAAGTATTGTTGTCAGCCAGGTTTAAGAACAGAAGCAGAGTCCTGGCTGGGTGGCTCGGTTGGAGCGCTGGGGAAATCTCAAAGATCTCCCCAATTCCCTAAAAGAGAACAGGAAGTATTGTTGTCAGCCAGGGTTAAAAAGAAAGCAGAGTCCTGGCTGGGTGGCTCGGTTGGAGCGCTGTCCTGTGCGCCAAAAGGCTGCGGTTCCATTCGCAGTGAGGCACACACCTAGGTGGGGGGTTCTATTCCCGGTCGGGGCCTGTACAGGAGGCAACTGGATGAATGTTTCTCTCACATGAGTCTCTCTCACTCTCTCTAAAATTAATAAAAACATATCCTCAAGTGAGGATTAAAAATTTTTTTAAAGAATTAAAAATGTTAAAGATGTGTGTTTTAGAAGTCACTAGTGAAATGAAAACTAGAATGTCCACCTTTGAAATCATAATCAATGCTATAAACAAAGCGGACCATCGGAAGGTAAAATGTCAGAGAAGAAGGAGGCATAAAAACGCGGGAAGCACAGAGGATGCTGACAGCAGTCAGACCAGAGAGATCATAATAACAGAGAAGCAGCGAATCCCCCCGTGGAGACTCAGCCCCAGATCTGATGAAAGGAGACGCAGCTGGGGCGCCTGCAAGCCACAGGATCTAGGAGAGAAGTCTGTGCTAAGACTCTGCAAGCAAATTTGAGAGGAACACGGGAAGTTGCAACATCACTGTGCCGGCAGGATGTAAGCGAGAAGTACTCCACGGCAGGATGTCAGCGAGAAGTACTCCACGGGAAGGGTAGGGACAGAATGACAAAAGGCACGACGCATAACAAGGACAGAACATCAAACCTCTGAGCAGTGGGAGAGGATGTCGCTAAGCGTGGCCATGGGATTCAGACGGGTACCATCACTTCAGAAAGCCTTGTATCAGGAGCCTCACACTGCTCATAACTTTGACCCAGTAATTCTCCACTTTTGATCATCTATCCTTAAGAAATAATGCAAATACTTATGTCCCAATGTTATTTATAATATCAAAAACCTGGAAATCTAAGATGCCCAAGAGAAGAGGAATAGTAAGTAAATTTAAATAAGAATATTTAAATTGATGCTTCTGAATAGTTTTAAGGGAAAAAGGTTAAAAAAAAAGCAGAAAATAAAATTTTATACCCAGAACAATATTAAATATATTAAAGAAATACACATGGAAAAAAGGCTCAAAGGTAATAAACTAAAATGTTAATAATAATTAGGGACAATGGGAATTAGAAGTGACTTGAAATTTTTCTTTATACTTTCCTCTACTTCCTAAAATGTGCCTGTTGAATATGTACCATTTTTATAATTAAAATATTGTACCAAAGTTCTATAGGTATCAAGTAACATGGGCAAAAATATTAAACATATAAAGATAAATGACAAAACACAATGTAGTGTGAAAAATTAGCTCATCTTTATCCAATAGGACAGATAAATTAGACAAAAATAAATAGGATGCAAAAGACAGTCAGGGAAAAGTGTACAAGTCTTTAAAATGGGCTGAAAAGATTACTGGGCTCCTTGTCTATACACCCTCAGGCTTATCGATATCTTCCCTTGTGTCGGAGCTACTTTTAAAACTTGAAGACAAAAAAAAAATGTGATGATGATGCCTAAGTTCTCCTCCACAGAAATGCATGACTCTGTCTGCAGAACATAATGGCCACGCCCGAGGACACTGGCCGCTCTTACACTTGCTCACAGACTCCTGCAGAGCTCCTGGGTGCCCACATACACGGTGTGTGTTGTCTGCATTTCCCTTTAAGCGAGCTGTGACATCTCACCGGGTCTCACATTAATGAATGAGTTAAATATGATCCTGGACACGTGTACATTTTGTATTTGTCCCAGAAACACGATTTCACTTTTTTTTGAAAAGGTGTCTTTTAACAGCATAAATTTCATAAGGAAAGGACAGCTATTTTCAAAATGCATATTCTGAAAGTATGATCCACATCTTCTCAAGCATCCATAAGCTACTTATAAAAAAAATTAAATAATACGCCATGAAGACATCACCTGGCTGGGTGGCTCGGTAGGTTGGAGTGTCGTTGTACACCAAAGGGTTCAATTCTCGGTCAGGACACACTCCTAGGCTGTGGGTTTGACCCCTGGTAGGGGCATCTAAACACCATGCACTAGGTATACCGGTTAATAATGCAGATTTTTTTCGCTAGGTGGAGTTACACATATGTTGATATATATACGATTTGATATGTATGCTATTTTGTTGTATTGACAACAAGCTTCAAAACTTCATATGTCAGATTTCCTGAAGTGTTAACATCATAGATATTTTTACACTTAAAAATGTCGAATTCCATGCCAAAAAAAGAGCATTTGTGGGAAGTTTAATTCATTACTTTAATTTGAAGAAAAGTGCTGCTGAAAATTATCGTATACTTCAGGAAGCATATGGTGAACATGCTCCATCTCAAGATACTTGTGAACGCTGGTTTAAACGCTTTAAAAGTGATGATTTCAATGTGAAAGACAAAGAACGTCCAGGTCAACCGAAAAAGTTTGAAGACCAACAATTACAAGCATTATTGGATGAAGATGTGTGTCAAACTCAAAAACAACTTGCAGAAAGATTAAACATTGCTCAGCAAACAATTTCCGATCGTTTACAAGCAATGGGAAAGATTTTAAAGGAAGGAAAATGGGTGCCACATCAACTGAAAGAAAGACAAATGGAAAACCGAAAAGTCATCAGTAAAATGTTGCTTCAATGGCACGAAAGGAAGTCTTTTTTTGCATCGAATTGTGACTGGCGATGAAAAGTGGATTTATTTTGAGAATCCCAAACGCACAAAATCAAGGGTTGATCCAGGTCAACCATCAACATCGACTGCAAGGCCAAATCGCTTCGGAAAGAAGACAATGCTCTGCGTTTGGTAGGATCAGGAAGATGTGGTGTATTATGAGCTTCTAAAACCATGTGAAACCATTAATATTGATCGCTACCAACAACAAATAATCAATTTGAACCACGCTCTGATCGTGAAACAACCAGAATGTTCCAGAAGATGTTAGAGAATAACATTAAAATCTATGGTTGCAGTGAAAATATCATTCAAGGGTAAATGTTGAAATTCAAACTTTAGTATAAAAAGTTTAAGCATTGTAGTTCACATGTAAAAAAGAATAGCAACAACAAATCTAAGGAAAGGGGAGAAAGAAAAAAATGATGATAAAAACTGAAAATACGGCAGAAAACATTGTGAAATTTAAATAAATGTGCCAGGGGCTGGTTATTGAAATGACTAATGAAAACGAGCAAAACTCGTCAAATGTAAGTTTTTAAAATGTAGCAAAATAGGACAAAAATGGAAACAAGAACTGAGCTATATCAGATGTTTTATTCAACTTAATCTGCATTAAGTGCCTGGTTTGTGTCAATGTTTTAGATTAAAAAAAAATCCTAAGAACATACAACGCATAATCCTATATAATAAAAGGCTAACATGCAAATTGTCCCTTCAACCGGGAGTTCGACCAGGAGGCAGGGCCGGCTGGCCAACTGCCCATGGCCCCTTCCCCCAGCCGGCCCGGCCTGATTGCCCCGATTGGGGCCGGCCAGCTGGACTCCACCCATGCACGAATTCGTGCACCAGGCCTCTAGTTTCCCACAAAACGGATCATGTCTGTGACAGTTTTATTCAAAACTATACTAAAATGGACATAAAAAGTAAAAAAAAAAAAATTACTCTGCTGTGGTTCAGTGGTTAGAGTGCTGGCCCAGGCACCAAAGGGTCACGGGTTCGGTTTCCAGTCAAGGGCGTGTACCTCAGTCGCAGGCTCGATTCCCAGCCCGGTTGGGGTGCATGTGGGAGGCAATCAATCAACGTGTCTTTCTAACATCCATGTTTCTCTCTCTTCCCCCCTCCCTCCCTTCCACTCTCTCTAAAAACATCAATGGAAAGAAAATTTAACTAAAACTAGAATTGACCTTAACATAACTATTAAAATAATCCCCTCCCCTGTTCAGTACCTGGATCCAAGCCTCATAGATAAATTCTATTTTCGAATAGAAAAGTAATTCTGTTAGAGAAACTGATTCAAAGCCACCTACAGTTCATTTCCAAACTATCCTCAATTCTCAAGTCCCAATAGAGAGAAATAAACGCTCAGCTGGTGACAGGATCCAGCAATGTGATAGAATAATGCCTCATTGAGGGCTTATCAGAGGAAGCTAAGGGCTGTTCAATAGGAGAGCAGCTAATAATAGAATCCACCCCATCAACAGCTTGAGAAAACGCACACCATCATTTTTAAAAGACAAAAAAAGGCATTTCAGAAAATTCACTACCACCTCCGAAGACGGAATTTAACGAAGGGAACGCAGAAATAATTTTTGAGCAGGCTGAGGGGATCCTAGAATAAGAGCTGGTATTAATATAATAATTAGTGGCGAAACACTGGAGAGATGCGCTTGGAAATCAGAAGCAAAACGAGGATAACTGACGTAGCGCCATTAGGACGTTTTAAGATTTGGGGCAAATGCCAGAGGACTCACAGGGACACAGAGGAACACCTCAGAAACGAAGGGCCCGCGGCTCACAGCAGATGCTCCCGCTGTACAGCGACAAAAGCCACCGAGGCAACTAACATCAATGGGTGCATTTGAAATAATGAGCTGCATTTCTACACACACACACATCGGTTAGAAAATACGCAAGAAAAAGCAATGCCAGTCACCACGGCAACAACCCGCTGTCACCGCCACCCGAGACGTCCCAGGGCTGCGCTGAACGAGAGTGCGTGGTTTCTGAGAGTGAAATCCCACACCGGTCCCCTGAACGCGGAAACCCTCTCCTGAGCGGAGGCCGAGGTCACAGCTCTGAAGTTATGACCGAAGACCAAGCAGCAGCTGTGAGAAAGTTATAAACGGCTCTCGGCAACGGTGCTGAGAACTGGCCCCTCACACATGAGAAAGCCGGGGCTCGAGGAGGTGGCTGCAGCCAGGAGTCCCGTGTGGGTGCAGGTGCACCTCACACAGCCTGTTGGGAGCAGGGCTGGGCCGACGCTCTTGTCTGGGTGACTCGGATTCTGGGGTCTGGGCTCTTTCCATGCTCCCCGTAACCCACCGCCCGCCTTGATACTTGCAAATATCACACAGTCTACAAGAAAAACAATGAAAAGGAGTTGGTTCTACATGTTATTAAAAGACACTTTAAAACACCAAGACTCAAAACAGCGTGACTCTGGGCTGTGGGTGGTGGAGGCTCAGGGTGAGGCTTGGCTATTTCGGGCTCCGGGAAGAAAGGGATTCTCTAATCCTCTGCAGAGCAGTCACTGAGCAGCATTTGAAAAATGTACTGAATGGTCCTACCTGTGCCTGGGCCATACAACAGGAGCCTAGAAATAAAAACTAGTCACCTTTGCTCTGTGCCAGGCCCTATGCTAAGCAATTGGAGACCTTACTTCATGCAGTCCTCATAAAGATCCTACAAAGCGAATGCTCCCATTCCACAGATGGAGAAACTGAGGCTCAGAAAGGAAAGTGACCGGCTCCGGGTCCTTCAGGCAGGCCTGGCTGACTTTATCAGCCTAGCTCCCTGTCCCCACCCAGCAGATGGGGCTGGCCTTTTCTGAGGTCCCACGGGTCGCTGCAAGCCCTTGGGTGTCTGTGTCCCTCAGGGCCTGGCCTGCTCCACGCTCCCTCCCTGCGTGTCTTGGTCAGTGTACCCAAGCGGCCGCCCCTGCTCCTGGCTGACTAACACTCCAGTCACCCCCGGCAGCCTGAAGTCCCAGGCTGTGCTCTATACCTCCTGACAGGTCCCTGACTCAGTTTCCCCTCTCATTTCAGCCAGCAGGTCTGGCTGTCCGGCCACCACTCTGCAGGGTCACCTTTCTGAGCCTCTGTTTCCGTAGCTAGGAAATGGGGGAAGTGAGAGCAGCCACCCATGGGGTTGCTGTGAGGGTTAAACTGAGTGTTTAATCCTGGCCATCGTGGGTCCTTAGGAAGTTTCTGTGCCTCTTCTCCGTGGAGGCAGAAAGAACACGCCTACCCGTCCCCTCTGCAAGCCGCCAGCCAGCGGAGGTACAGACTCGGGCAGGAAATGAAGTTGGGGGTGGGGTGGGCTCTGAGTTACGTGGAGAAGGCGCAGTGAGCCCCAGCCCATACCTGGCCTTATCTCCCTGCCCCCATCCTCCTCCAGGTCATACACGCAGACGAGGAGGCAGGACGAAAGGCAGAGACTTTGGAGCCACATCGGAGACACAGCGGGTCTGCACTCATAGTGGCCCCTCTGCCCGGCTCACGGCTTCAGGCCTGGGCACGTGTTCTCCACCAGACTCCACCCCATTCCTCGGTCACACGCAAACCCGCCCTTCCCCTTCCCCTCTCGTGACCCTGCTGCAGAAGGCACAGGCCCGGCAGCCATGATGCTCGTCCACGGGCGAGGGCTGGGCTGCCTGCTGCTCCCTCCCCAGGACCCCATCCGAGGGCCACGCCCGATGCTGGGAAAGGGTCTCACCCTCCAAACCACATACGAGACACCGGGTGGACAGGGCCATTCACGGAGCCACTCTACTCACTTCACAGTGCACCTCCGCTCCCGCTAGGAGAGCCAAGCAAAGCCCGCCCAGGGCCAGGCCCACCCAACACTTGTCCTCACAAACCCAGGCACCCGTGGGTGCAGATGCCCCAGAGAACATCGGAAACCAGAGCTTGGAACCCTAGGGCCACCCACACCTGCTGACCTTCTTGGTGTAGCCCATGGCCTTCAGGACAGAATGGTTCAAGGTCTCCAGGGAGGCCAAGACGTCCTCATAGTCCCCCATGTGGTCCACAAAGTAATCTGGGGTAGGAAAGAGCAAAGGTTAGGGGTCACAGGAGGATTCTGCCCCTTTCACCAATCCCCCATGCCCCTGTTCCCGCTCCCCGGGTCCCTTCCCTCCACACCTCTTGGTCCCTGCATTGCCTAATCGGCACCTACCACACAGCTCCTTGGTGTCCACGTGGCTGCAGAGAGAGCACAGGGGAAGGGGGACTCAGAAGCCGGCCTGTCAGGTCCCATCCTCCTGCCCTCCCTCCACAGCCTGCCCGGCCCACACAGCTGGTAAAACGCCCGGTGCCTTCTCTCTTCATTCCATGCCCTGGCATCATGAGCCCCACTTCACAGGTGAGGGTGCAGCAGGTAAATGGCACCAACCCCTCCGAAGGACCAAGCAAAGCTCCGTCGGCACCTCAGTCTATCTGACCCCCTCACCACACCACCCACCCTGCTTCCTCCCCCAAAGTCTGCTGATCACATCATGAGCAGACGGGACCAGGATGGGGCTCAGGAAAAGGGAGGAGGCGAAAGGGAGGAGATGACATTACAGGCTGAGACCAGCTTTCCTGAGACACGCTGTCCTGGGCACTCCTGCCTGCCTGCCTGGGCCTGGGCCAGCGTCCGGTCCTCACCCTAACCCCAAGCCCCAGGGTCTGCACCCCATTCCTACAGCCTGGATGGGGAAGGGTCCTGCCCTTCCTGGAGGAGGCTGAGTACAAGGGCCAGCCCCGCAGGTGCAGGTGAGGGTGCGGGTGCAGGTGCAGGCAGCGAAGCAGCCTGGGAACACAGATGCGATGCAGGTGTGCCCGGTGGGCACCCAGGGACCCGAGTGTCTGTGCAGGTTCGAAACCTTCACTTTCTGGGCCCCAGTTCCTCACTGCGAGGAGGGACTGGCCTAGAACAGTGTGGTCCTCCCAACCCAGGCTCATCCACACGCCTCCGGGAAAGGCGCCTGTGCACTCCTGCCTGCTGAGGGGACCAGGACGGGGCTCAGGCAAGGCCTAGGCCAAACCACTCGATCCGGGGTCAGAGGCTGCGAGCTGCCCTGGAGGTCCCCTGATTCGCTGTCCTAGTAAAAGTGCTGGCAGGTCTCGCAGAAAGGAAGCCAGTTTTCTTGTGCTTAAACTAGCATTTCCCCGAGCTTCTGACCCATGGGAACTGTTCTGGACAGAAGCCTACCCAGCACCCCAGGAGGGAATGCCCACAGCTGCCTCTGGGGAGCCCTGGAGAAAATGCCGAAGGTGAGACCTCCCCGCTCGCTCCCCACTCACGTGCTCTCATGGTTAAATGCACAAAACCTGCACCTCTTCCTCCCCACCCAGCTGGCCCAACACAGAGGCACCCAATGAGAATGCATCATCAATGGGTCTCAGCCCTGCCAAGCTCCCGGGCCGGGAGGGACCCCTCAGAAACCCCCGCCTGGATCCAGACGCAACGCCCTTCTCTGGAGTCTGTGCTAGGAGCTGTTTCCTCCAGGCGCCTTCCCTGGACATGACACTGGCTCCACCTGCCCCGGTGCCGGCCTCTGCCTTCAGGACGCTCAGCCCCAACCCCTGGTCCAGGCCCCCACGGCGCCGGGTCCCCTGCAGATGAGCCTGGGGGAAGCTCCTTGTTTCAACATCTCTGGCCTGTCTCAGGGGACCCCATCAAATCTGCCCCAAGCACCCCACCCCCGGAACTCTGGTCCTCATCCCCGGAAGTAGGCCTGAGGAAGGTGACCAGGTGTGGGCTGAACGGGAACCCAAGGAAAAGGAGAAGGTGGGATTAAGGTTGGGGCAGGGGCAGGGTAAGCAGCATTTGCTCTTGATTCAGAGATGGGTGGGCCAGGAGGTTCAGATGGATTCTGAGATGTGGGTTAGGGTTATGACTGAGTTGATGAAAGGTTTAATTAGATGAGTCAGAAGTGAGATTCAGGTTAAGAAGTAGAGTTATGGGGCGATGAAGCTCAGGGAATGTAATCAATAATACTGCGATAACGATGCATGGTGCCAGCTGGGTACTGGGAATGTTGGGGTGAACACTTTGTAAAGTATGATTTCCTAGCCACTATGCTGTATACCTGAAACCTATGCAAACTAATACTGAAAGTAAACTATAATTAAAAGAAATAAAGTGAGGCCCCAGCCGGTTTGGCTCAGTGGATAGAGCATCGGCCTGCAGACTGAAGGGTCCCAGGTTCAATTCTGGCCAAGGGCACATGCCCGGGTTGCGGGCTTGATCCCCAGTAGGGGGCGTGCAGGAAGCAGCTGATCAATGATGCTCTCTCTCATCATGTTTCTATCTCTCTCTCCCTCTCCCTTCCTCTCTGAAATCAATAAAAATATATTAAAAATAATAATGAAATAAAGAAATAGAGTTAGGATGAGCATCTGGTTAGAGTTTGGTTTCGGATGGGAGCCGGTGAGAACAAGATGGCAGCGTTGGTGTTGGGTCGGGAAAGAAGCACCAGGTCTGGGCAGAACTGGGCTGAATTAGCAGAAGGTGACGGAGCCGCCAACTTCCCTTCACCATCCAGTGTGATTTCTGCAAAATCTAGGGTCTCTCTCCGCTTAGCCACATGTGCCAGAAAAGACCAGCCTGCCAAGGGGGTCGCTGACTTCCGGACGAAGGAGTTTGGGGACTGCAGGGGTGGGCAATGAAGGCTGGCCCCGGGCAGAGGAAGGGCCTCCTCCCAGCCCACGGCGCCGGCTCCAGACACAGCTCCTTGGTGTCCACGTGGTTGGTGTTGTCGGAGTCGATGGTGTGGAAGAGACCCTCCAGCTCCGTCTCGTTGAGGACGCCATCTGCAAAGAAGAGCTGGAACTCCTCCAAGGACAGCTTCCCATCGTCTGCAAAGGGGGAAGGAGAGCAGCTGGCGTCTGAGCGACAGGACGTCCCCAAACCCAGACAATTCCCAAACCAACAGAGCAGTCCCGTCGGCGAATCCCAATCGGCCAGCGCACGCCAGTTCACGGGGAACGACTGACTGACTCACGCAGCCAATTCCCGAACCACAGACCCACACCTATTGGAGAGAACCCTCAAACCAACACACACAAGCAGCAGCTCGTCTGCGGGGACCCACGCTGCAGGAATTCAACCAACAGCCAGCACCTGCCCCGCCAGGCAATCGCCTGACCACCTGGGCCGGCACTGTTTACAGTCGCTCCACACCTGCCACGCCTGTAAGAGGGGGGCCCGAGGGCGGACAGTCTGATGGCCTCTCTCCCTCCCGTCCAGGTACCCAGATGATCTCCCCACATTTAAATTACCTCCAGCGCCAGCACCCACATCCTGATTGGGGAGAGGAAAGACCCCTCGCCCTGTGCCCCATCCACTCGGCAAGCTTCAGCCCAAACCTTTGAAAGGGCTGATGTGTGACGGTTGCCAACAGTTGGCACGCAGTTCTCTCGGTGCCACAGATGCTGCCTTAAAGATGCCAAACCACGAGGAAAGGAGGTGCCTGGCCTGGGCCCGGCGCTGGCCGCCCGCCCGCCCTGGGGCCAGGACCTGTGGCTCTGGGATGTGGAGGGCGTGGGGCTCTGTAAGGGGCACCACAGCTGAGGCATGCCACCTGCCGCCCACCTCCCTCCCTCTCTCTCACCTGCAGCCCCCCCAGCACAGCATCTGGCAGGGAAGCTCTCTGAGTTGGGGGCAGAGGGGCCTCTGAGGGAGGGGCTCACAGCAGACCTGTGACTCCAGGAGAAACAGCCCTCAGCTTCCCCTCAGCTCCTCCCACCCGGCACACCTGCTGAGAGAACTCCCAAAAGCTGCTCTCCACCCCTGCAGCCAGCACCGCCTCAATGAGCCTGCTCTTCTTAAAGGAGCCATGCCTGTGGGCGGCAGTGGAGGTCAGGGAGGACGGCAGGCCCATGGCACTTCCCAGCCCCCGTGCAGACCCCTCCCAATGGCGTCCTGCCAGGCTGCCATCAAAGCCCAGCGAGCCCACCTGGCACCTCTGGGTGGCCTAGGAAGAGATGCCCTTTCCTGGTTGGGGTGAGGGCCTTGCCCAGCGTCAGGGCACAGGGTCGTGACGGATGCAGGCTGGGTCTGAGGCTCCCGATTCCTTAGGCAGTGGCCCTCCTGCAGGGCACAGCTTGCCTAGGTGAGCCCAGAGCGAAGTTGTTCTTACATTTTAAAGGCGCCGGAGCGCCCGTCTCTGCGCCCAGCAGCTCTGTGTGGGCTCAACGTAGGGCTAAAGGACAAGCTGGGGAGAGGGAGACCCTCACACTTGTCCTCACTTCCCTCCCTGTCATCAAGCTCAGGAGAGAGTAAGGACTAACTGTGAGCTGTGAGCGCTCGGTGCCTGGGGGTGAGGGCGGGGTCCTGGATGCCTCCGGCATCCTGGCTCAGGGTTCAGTGTTAAAGAGGGAGGATGAGTTTGTAACTTTCAAAACATAAGAGTCCCCACCCCCCCATACTCCCGCTCAGAAGGCCCAGAACCCAGCCACGCACGATACCAGCTGTGAAATAAACTCTAAGCTGCGGGTCCTTGTCATCTGGGCAAGAGGAGACGTTCCCCGTCCCATTTGGCAAGATTGGTGATCAAGCCAGGAACCACAGCGCAGAATCAGGGCAGACACATGGGGCTCTTACTGCGTAGTCACTCATTCAGTCCTCACCACACCCCATGGCACGGTAGCACCGTCACCCCCATTTCACAGACCTGTAAACCGAGGCACAGAGCCGTTAAGGGGCTTGCCCAGACCCCACAGCTGGGGCTCAAACCCAGGCCATCTGGCTCCTGAGGCCACACTCTCACCCAACGTGGGGCAGGGTCTTGTAGCAAGAGCTCCAGCCACAGGGCGGCCTGGACACGCTGAGGCCGAGTCCAGACTCAGTGGAAGGGAGCTGGGATTGCTTCGTCTTGTCTGCGTGGGCACAGCCAGGGGTCTCCCTGCCTCACCCGCTCCTGCCTGTCAGGTGCCCAGTTGTCTCACTTGGGAGAGCGGCAGGGGGAGTGAGGGGGGCCCAGACCTCCTGAGCACAAAGGCTCCCAGCTGACATTTATCTCGAAGGCCTCACCACCGCCCTAAGGAACCAGACCAGCCAATGAGGGAAGCACCCTCCCACCAGGCCCCGCCCATTAGACCAGAGGCCTGGCACCCCCGCCCAGCGGGCATTTGCAGGTGTCTCTCCCAATTAGCACGAGCTCAGCCTCTAGTCAGTGACCTTTCAAATGCCAGGAGTCTGCATCCCTGCAGAGACATGCCGGCACCTGCCGCCTGCCCTCCGGGCTCCACCCCCAGGCCGCCCCTCGGAGCCCTGCCGTCTTCATCTCTGTGAACATCTCTGTCCTCAGAGCCACTACGGCTGGCCTGTGCTCCTGTAATCCCGAGGGCCCATCCCTCCCAGCCTCAGCCTGAGCCCACACTCCATCTTCCGCCCCCGGCATCTTATTCCGCTGGGTGCCAGGGGAGGGCCCGCGTGCGCCTGTGATCAACAAGTGTGCGCACGAGCCTTTGTGTGTCTCTGGTCTACACCCACACTCACCCTACGTGCACACCACGCCCATCCCCTGCCCACACGTTTTCAAACTGAGTCCGAACCCATCTGCCGCCCCCCCTGCCCCCGCCTCAACTGAGGACCTGCAGGCTGTCACTTGCCCTCGCCAAGCCTTGCTACTGTCAGCTGCGGTAAGGGGTACGGTGCTTCCTATGCCAGTAGGAGCAGAGTGAAGACCAAAGGAGAAGGTCCATGAAAGTCTCGGTGCCCGGAGGCTTAATGGCATCGGCAGCCTGCCCCACAGCGGGCACCTGTGCAGCACAGGAGGGAACCCAACACCTGTGGACAAGCCAAGGCCATTTCCACGGCGCTTGACGCTCCTCAGCTGTTCAGGGCTCGCTGCTTCCTTAGGTGCAGCCCTCTGTGCTGCGGGCTAGTTTCATCACCCCCACTACAGATGGGGAAACTGAGGCCAGAGAGTTTGGGGGCTGGCCTCAAGTCGCAAAGCTGGGAAGTGGCTGAGCCAGGGCTTGCACCCAGGCAGTCTCTGTGACAGAGGAGGGGCCCCGCCCCCCTCCCACTGGCTCCGCATCCCACACACCCTAACCCTGGTGACACCCCCACAGCCACTCTGCAGTAGCTGGGAAGACGCGAGGCCCCAAGGGGAGCAGCAGGCTGGGCCTGTACGGGGCCCGCAGGAGAGAAGTTGAGAGCCCACAGCTGTGCTCAGGGCGGAACCGTGGCCTCTGACTGGGAACAAGTAATGGCGAGGAAAGCCCAACTGTGCCTGGAGACCAGGGTGCCACCCACCACGCACGCACGGACACACGGACAACCCCACAGCCACTGGGAGACCACAGCCAGACACACTGCTGCACCCCAGGGCTGCACAGCCACACTCGCATCCATGAACAGACCCATCACCTAAATCCACAGGCACTTACCAAGCACCTACTGTGTGCTGGGCGCCAGGCCCACGACAGGGACAAGCCTCTAACCCCCTCCTCTAATCTCTAACACTGTTCAGGCCACGATGCCACCGCCATTTCCTGAGCCCCACCGAAGCCCCCCATCCCTTTCCTTGCTCCTTGCTCCAGATGCAATTGCTCTGATGGTCCTTTGGTCCAAGAGGCCTGGGAGGGGCCATCACTCCCAGGGATGGGGTCAAGGTGGAGACCCCAGGCACTGACTTCCAGCCAGGCCTGCACACCTCCTCTCCCCCCGCCCCCCCCCAAGGCCTCATGTTCCATCCCCAACACCATGGGGGGCAGGTCAACTCACAGGGGCAGGGAGAAAGGGGGTGCTGGGACCCAGGCTAGAGCTGCGGCCTTGAACTCCAGCCTACGACAGAGAGGGGCTGGGACTGATGCTCGGGGCCCTGAGGGGCGGGCACATCTGTTCCCACTTCCCCCAGCAGAGACCTTGGCCCTCAATCAGCTTGTTTCAATAAATGAGCAAACACTGAGCACTGCCTAATTTTCCCTAAAACACCTATCCCCCCACCTCCCTGTATTTTCCCAATAGCCTAGGCAAGTAAACAGGTTAAGTGTTATCACCCCACTTTACAGACGGGGAAACTGAGGCCTGGAGAGGGACTGTGCCTTGGTAAAGCCATGTAGAGTCGCTGTGGGCCGGAGAAGAATGACTGCAGTATTTATAGGAAGTTGGACCGCTCTTTGCCACACCTGCGAGGTTCGGGCCTTGGGGAACGTGGTTATCCTCACACAGGTGGGAGCCTACCAAGCGATCAGGAGGGGAGCGTCAGGTGTTCTATGGCAAAGCAATGTGCTGCTCACATTGTCGGAGAGGCTGTGTGATGTGGGGAAAAGGGCTGGAGTCTGCAGCAGAGCGACGGCCTACACGCAGCTGGGCTACCCTGGGCAAGTCACTTACCCTCTCTGAGCCACGACAGCGCTGATAGAACACGGGATGCAGCACCCACTGCACCAGGCAGCAGTGAGGAGGAAGTGTGCCCCTGCCTGTGAAGGGCCTAGAGCAGTGGTTCTCAACCTTCTGGCCCTTTAAATACAGTTCCTCATGTTGTGACCCAACCATAAAATTATTTTCGTTGCTACTCCATAACTGTAATGTTGCTACTGTTATGAATTATAATGTAAATATCTGATATGCAGGATGGTCTTAGGCGACCCCTGTGAAAGGGTCGTTCGACAGCCAAAGGGGTCGCGACCCACAGGTTGAGAACCGCTGGCTTAGAGTGAGGCTGGGGGCTTCCTTACAGCGTGGTCCAGCCCAGCTGCGTAAGGGTTAAAGCACACCAAGCATTTACCATGGGCAGGACACCCTGGCATCAGACATCCATTCACAGAATCCTCATGGCATCCCCGCTGTGTAGGAACTAGGGAGTCCTGTTGTACAGAGGGGAAACTGAGGCACAGAGCAGATCCAGGACTTGGCCTTCAGATTTCAGAGACCTGTACCCTTAACCTTTAGGTTCAAGGTGGCCCACTCCCCACCCTGGTCCTTTCCCTTGAGGCGTCAGGACGGAAAGAGCCAGGTCCTCATTCAGGGCCAGCACGGGAGGGAAACTCACCATTTTTGTCCGCGCGGCGGAAAATCTGCAGGGAAGAGAGATGGGCTAGTCAGCCCTGGGCAGAGAGCTCCTGAGCTGGAACAGATGTCCCCTCCCCCCCAGGTGGCCTGGGAAACCGAGCCTCCACTTTCTCCCTCCCCAGGGAGGAGACCCGCCGGCTGGGATCCAGGGTGGGAGAGGGAGATGTTACAGGCAGAGGCCCTCCCAGCCACCCTAGCGGAAGCAGCCGCCCACGCTCCCTCTGTGCCGCCAGCCTGCCCACAGCCACGCTGACAGACACATGCACACGCGTGTGGACACTCTGGCTCACACTGTCCACATGCTTGGGGGTGCACTCCCAGCGCCACCGGTCCATGGGGCTCCACCCACTGTCACACCCTGAGTTGCACACCCCGAATTTGTGTCCCGAGGACACAGCCACAGGCCTTGCAGCCTCAGGGCGCTCCAGGGAGGTTGGGTTAAGTCTGAACAGAGGCCTCTGCTAAAGGAACCTCCAGGCTTGGCCACTGGACCAGCCACAGGCAGGAGGGGCCTTTTGGGCGGGGGAGTGAGTAGAAGCAGGTTGACAGGAGCTCAGGCAACCAGCTGCTGCCTCAGGTAGGAAAGAGGAGGGGCCAGCCCAAGCCCCCACCCCCACCCCCAGCCTGAGCTTAGAGACCAGATAACTCCTCCTCCTGGCATTTCGGGCAGGTAGCCCTGCTGATGGAAGGAGGGAGAGGTAGACCAGCACCTCGACCACCCACCTCTGGTGCTTCCCTGGGATAAAGGACAGAGGCCCCTGCAAGCAATGGGGCGGCATCCATTATCCACCCGAGGCTGTGACACACTGACGCAGTGGCTCAGGAGATCAGCCCCTTCCTTAGCTGAACCCTGATGCCAGGGTCCTGGGCAGGAGCCACTGTGGCTGGGCAGGAAGGGGAGCACTCTCTGGCGCCCCGCAAAGCCTCAGCCCAGGGCCCACACTCCTGCTCCGAGGCTGCGTTCCACCCTCAGGTGCCTGCCGAGGGCCTGGGTGTTACTGAACCACATGACCACCTGCTGTGGCTCCAGAGTCTGCACGAGCACAGAGCCCCCCATCTGCTCATCACCCCATTTCACAGATGAGGACACGGAGGCTCAGAGCCCGCAGGCAGCACTCCAGGACCCTGGAGCCCGCCCCCTGGACTGTCAGAGGAGAGAATGGGAGGGGTCTGCCCCCCCCCACCCCGGCTTCCCTGCAGGGCAGGCCCAGGGCTTTCAGCTGCCAACTCTGCTGGGGTCTTGAGAGAGGGTCCGGGGTGTGTCGGGCTGTGCATGTGTGAGTGTGTTTGGGGGCACCAGCACCAGGACCCCAAGCACTCCCAGCAAAGCTCCACCCTCCCCGCCCAGCCCTCTCTGCCCAGAGCCAGCTGTGGGTTCCAGGAAAGGAGAGAGAAAATCCACTCGTGCTCACGTGCACAAGCGCACACACACACACACACACACACACACACACACACACATACAC